CCAAACTAAAAGAAAAACATAAGATCAAGAATCATGAGCCTTGCAGAAGTTGAGCCAATCCGAGTGAGCAGACTTCACAACAATCTGGACAGGGATAAGGGTCTTTTGAAGATCCAAAGATTACGAGTCTTCCACATCCACCAAAGAAGATAAGTAGTGAGTTGGATTCTGAAGTTGGATGTGTCAGACTTAGATAAAGAGCAGATATGTTGCCACTAGTGTTTGAAGGAGCCTGATTGGAGCATAAAGCCATTCCAGGAAATAGGAGCGATCTCCCAAAGTCTTTTTGCTCTGCTACATTCTAAAAACAAGTGCTCGACTGATTCCTGCCCTTCACCACAACATTTACAGATAGAGTCAATATCAAGCCCTTTCTTATTGAGATTAATCAGAGTAGGCAGAGCTCCACTGAGGCATTTCCAGATAAAAATTTTGATCTTGCCTGGAATTTTGAGAGACCAGCTTCTAGATAGAGTTTTGGCCATAGGAATCAAAGAGGTGCTGCATTCAGGCATATCAAGAGAAAGTACTTTCTGCTGCACTAAGTGAGAATATATGCTGGAGACTGAGAATCTACCTTTCTTATCAAAACCCCAATATAATCTGTCTTTTGTGTCTGGCTTCAGGGAAGAGATACTTAGAATAGCCTTGCTATCAGCTGCTGAGAAGACTTGTTTAACCAGCCATTGGTTCCACTCTTTTCCATCTGGCATAATAAGATCTTTAACAAATATGAGGTGGCCTCTGGCAAGTTCCAACATAACTGGTTTGGATCTTGTGTAGTTAGGAATCCAATTATCCTCTTCAATCCGAGTTTCAGCACCTCCTCTGATTTCAGTTTTAAGCCATTTAGAGAAGATAGGCAATACTCCAAGCCAGCAGCTCCACAACCAAGAGCTTTTGTGAGTTTTGACAGCTTGAAGGATGGATGATTAGGATATTATCGGTCTTTTAGAATTCGGCTGACAAGAAGCTCAGGGTTAGAAGAAATTCTCCAAAGTTGTTTACAAATCAAGGCAACAATGAATAACTGAATATCAATAAAAGCAATGCCTCCATTCTGCTTAGGGAGGGTCATTTTGTTCCAGCTTTTCCAGAAAATGCAGTTGGAGTTGTCGTCATTGGTGTTCCACCAAAATCTTGCACAAAGACTAGAGATCTCATTGCAAATTAACCGGGGTAGTCTGAAGCAGGACATAGGAAAAATAGGTAGTGCTTGAATCACTGACTTAAGAAGAACTTCCTTACCAGCAGAAGAAAGTAATTTAGATTTCCAGCCTTGAAGTTTCATTTTGACAGCTTCCACCAGGTAGGAGAAGGCTTCTTTCTTAGATCTCCACATACCCAGGGGTAAGCCCAAGTATTTGGTGGATCTGTGGCAAGAGATACCATTCAGCACTGAACAAACTCTGGACTTAATGTGAGCAGGAGAGTTTCTGCTGAAGAAAACAGCTGATTTTGAGAAGATTAACAGCCTGGTCAGTGTAGAGTTTGTATTTATGCAGAATATTCATCAACACTCCAGCTTGGTGAGCATCAGCCTTGCAGAAAAGAAGAGAGTCATCTGCAAAAAGCAAGTGAGAGCAAAGGACCATTTTTGAGAGTTTTAAGCCATGCAACAGGCCAGAATTCACAGCATCAAGAATAAGAGCAGAAAGAAGTTCAACCATGATAATGAATAGATAGGGGGAAAGAGGATCCCCCTGTCTAATCCCTCTGGTTGGCTTAATAAATCCAGAAACTCTACCATTAACCTTCACTGAGAGAGTAGAAGAAGAAACACAAACCATAATAAGAGACACAAAATCCTTGTGAAATCCCATTTGAATCATAATCTGTTGCAGGCTAAGCCACTCCACCCTGTCAAAGGCCTTAATAAGATCCAGTTTAATTGCCATGAAACAGTGTTTGCCTGAGAAAAGTCTGTTGAGATAATGGAAGGCTTCCTGTGCAATGATCACGTTGTCCAGCAATTGTCTTTCTTTAAGGAATGCTGATTGATAAATGCTAATACAAGAGTAAAGACAGCTTTTCAGCCTCTGGGCAAGAATTTTTTAGAGCACCTTGTAAATTACAGTACATAGCCCAATGGGTCTAAATTGGCTCAGAGATTCAGGAAGAGAGCATTTAGGAATCAATGATAAAACAATGTGATTCCAGTACTGCAGCAACTATTTGGAGTGAAAGAAACTCTTGATTGCAGAAGTGAAATCAGTTTGAATTAAATCCCAGAAATGTTGATAAAAAAGAGCATGCATACCATCTTCCCCCGGGGACTTCTCAGGCTCCAAACTGAAGAGAGTGGCTTTGATCTCAGCATCCTCGACAGGAAGCAGAAGAGTTTGATTCATATCCTCTGTGATGGTTTTAGGGATGAGGTGAATGATTGCATCACCCCCCAGTGTTCCTTCAGATGAAAAGAGATTGGAGTAGAACTCAGTGATATGATATTCCATCTCTTTCTGAGTACAAAATTCCTGACCTCTGGCAGAAACCAATCTGGATATAGCATTCATTCTCTTCCTTTGCTGAGCATAGGCATGGAAAAATTTAGTGTTCCCATCACCTTCCTTCAGCCATTTGATCTTGGTTTTTTGATGCCAGAAGCTTTCCTCAAAGAAATGAGCTTTATTGAGATCTCTCCTGGTGTTCACCCAATTCTCCCAATTTGAGTTTGTCTTATTTGCTTTGAGATCTTCCAGCTTTTGAGTAAGGGATTTGATAATAAGCTGATTCTTGGAGTGAAAGGAGGAAATCCATTGTAGTAATGCCACTCTAGTGAACTTGACCTTTTCTTTGAGTTTGAAGAAAGGAGTTCCTTCCACTGAGGTCTGCCAAGCTTTGTGAACTGTTTCAGAGAACCCTGTCATGCCAATCCATCTCTTCTCAAATGAGAATCTCTTAGGGGTTTTACAGCTATGATCTCCTGAGTTGATTAATAATAAGGAGTGATCAGAAGAGCTTTTGACAATATTCAGAACTTTGGCATTTGGAGAAGAAAGCATCCAATCCATAGAGCCAAAAACTCTGTCCAGTTTTTCTTCAACCACTTCTTCTGAGTTCCTGTTGTTGCACCAAGTATACTGACAACCAATCATTCGAATTTCCTCCATCTCCATGTTATTGATAAAAGAATTGAAACCCTGAAAACTGGAGATGCCTCTAATAATTCCACCAATCTTCTCTGAGTTTGAACAAATGTCATTCCAATCGCCTGCTGCGAACCATTTAGCCCCCAAGTAGGTTTAAGAGATTCCAAGATTTCCCATTGAATAATTCTATTGTTCCTGCAGGCACTCATATATACAAAGATACCCCATTATTTATCAGATTGAGGTAGCTGGAATTCTGAAGCAATAAAGAAGTCCTGACAGATAAGCTGATGAATAATGACATTAGAATTCCAGAAAAGGAGTAAGCCACCACTTAGACCTTGGGGATTAACAATAGCCATTCTATCTTCATAACCTAGCCTCTTACAAACAATTTTAACAAAAGCAGAATTTTTTTTAGTTTCTGAAATAAAGAAAAAAGAAGGGTGATGAGCCTTAATGGTCTCTCTGATTTGGGAAACTGTAGAGGGCCCACCCAGCCCTTTACAGTTCCACACCGCAGCTAACATCGTTCACTTGGGTGCCATTCAAGGCTGGCCACCCCCACCTTACCATCTTCAGTCTTTTGCTTTTTGTTGTCCTCCTGAACAGATTCATGAGAAAGATTGCCTTCCTTTAGATTTTCTTCAGGTTCTCTTGGCCTTTTTACAGAGGATGAGTCATCCAGATTAGAAGATAAAATAGCCTGTCTTTGCAACCTTCCCATTCTGGATTCTGATCTCTTTCATAATTTTGGCTGATAATTAGATTTACCAGCAACCGAGATTTGGATAGATTTTTCCTTTGCGGCATTTATCAAGATATCTTCCACTTCCATTTCCTTATTTTCACTGAGGTCTTGATTATCAGGCTGAGTATCCTCAAGTGCCATATTTGAAGAATTAGAGACCCCCAGATGTTGTTGAGGGTTTATTTGAGACAGGGTGTAATATCCCGTCATGTTAGTAATATAAATCATGTGTTTGGTTCCGATATAATAATATTATCGATTATTATTTCCAGAATTAAATATTTCAGACGAGATTACCCGAAATTATTTTCGAAGTCACGTTTGTGTTCGGAATAATTTTGGTAATTAAGTATCATGTTTAGTAATTAATTAAGCATATAGATAATGCTTAATTAGTAATTAATCATGTTCAACTAAGCAAAAGCCGTGGGCATTTTTCTTATAAATCATGAATAATTTCATTCATTTTTTTTTTTTTTGTAAAAAGCCGTGTGCATTTTGTGAGCAATTAGGGAGAATTGTTTCATTTTTTTAAGTATGAGGTGTCCTTATTTTAGGCTTTATGTGATGACTAAGATAGTTAGGGGGTGAGGTAGCATCCAAAATACTCCTAGTGATGGCAAGTGGCACAAAATGAGAAAACCACCAAGCCTTCACCTCCCCTTTTTGTGTTCGGCTATCATATATATAACATGGAAATGGGGAGATTTCAGCACCTTATATGCTCCTATATTTAAGTTTTAGGCATAGAGTTAGTGTGAGTTTAAGAGAGAGCTTACCTTAATGAGAATACCGCACACGGAGCTTAGTTGCACGCACGCCCGAGAGCCGCGTACGCACGGAAGCACCGAGCTACGAGTGGTCGCGAGCACCTTGTGCGATCAGGCGAGGAAGTGGAGAGGTAACCTCGGTTTAGCTTTGTTTGATCATGTTAAAAACATGTTAGATCAGTTTGCTTAAGTCATGTTCCCAATACGGTTATAAGTTGTGTTCGGACGTGCGTATAGTCCATGCCGAGCATATTCATTTTGATCCAAAGATCTCTCGAGCAAGCTGCGTGTATTCATTCATGTTATGTTAATTCATGTTTAGTTAAGTTTACTTACTCGAAGGATTTTCATGATTTATCGGTGATTTGGCCGAGGAGGACATCTGACAGAAAGAGGATGGAATGTCTCCGTAGAATTTGTTGTTCCTTAGCCTAAGAATTGCCAGATTGAGCAGATTGTTTCCAATCCATTCTGGAACTTTCCCTGATAACTTGTTGTCTCCAATATCCAAACCCATTAACTGGGTGCAATTTTTCAAATTTGGAGGGAGTTTCCTTATAAAACTGTTACTCAGTTGCAACCATCCCAACGAGTAAGCTCCACTAATGGAGTTTGGAATGGGCCCAGAAAGCTTATTAGATGATAATGTTGCAACCCTTAAGTAAGATAAGTTAGCCCAACATTGTGGAAGGTGACCTGACAATAGATTCTTGGAGAGACGCCGGTAAAACAAACCTCTCAGTTGGCATAAGGAAGGGGATATCAAACCAATTATCACGTTATTTGATAGATCTCAAACTTGGATTCTGAAAGGAAGATTTGAAATAGATCCATCAATATGGTTGTTGGATATGTCTAAATCAGTCATATTTTTTATGGAATGGAGCCATTTCGGCAACATGCCTCTAATGCTACAATTAGATAGATACAAATAGTGTAGTGATTTTTGTGTTTAAAGCCACTGTGGAAATTGGCCTCCGATATCAATGGATGACATATAAAGGGATTTTAGTTGAAAATGAGGGGTCCAATCATCTCCCACTCTGAATGTTAACATGTTAGACCCAGTCCTAAATCCTTTAAGTTTGAATAGCTTCTTAAAGTGGGCCTCTATGAGCGTACCTTCAAAGGTATTACCATATATGTCAATCCACTCCAAATCTGAAAGTTGTCCCACAATAGTTGGAATTGGACCAGACAAATTGTTATCAGACAAATCTAACCATTTTAACTGCTTCAGTTTGCCAAGTTCTTCAGGCAACTGCCCGTAAAAATTATTACTCCACAACTCTAGGTTCTCCATGTTGTGGCTCCAGCATCTTGATAAATTTATTGGGATTGGACCAGTCAACTTGTTATCAGACAAATCTAACTCCTTTAGCTGCTTCAGTTCACCAAGTTCTTTAGGAAACTGCCCGTTAAAATCATTACTCCACAACTCCAAATTCTCCAAGTTGTGGCTCCAGCATCTCGATAAATTTTTAATTAATAATACCGAGATATCTCCATGAAAATGATTATTCCCTAGGTTCAATGATTTCAAGTGGCATTTATCCCACAGCAGATTAGAGATCCAATCTGTGCTGTAATTAAGTGAGTTACCTTCAAGGTTGAGATATTGAAGATTTCTCGACAGAAGAAAATGAGGGTCCAATGAGGTGTATTGGTTGGAAAAAAGATCAAGAAAATGCAATGAAGTCATGTTACAGAGAAAGCATGGAATGCCTCCTTTAAAGAGATTGTTACTCAAATCTTGGTGTTGTATATTAGTAGATAGCGTGGAATTTAAGCAACTAGTATGAGGTAGGTATGTGTTATAAAGCCCTCTATGTGACAAGCTTAATAATTCTAAAGAATGAAATGTACTAAGTACCGTCGCAAAGTGATCATTTGTGGTGCTAAGGTTGACATGACACATATCAATGGACTCCAGCAATGAAAGATTAGCAGCCCATATGAGATTGTGGACTCTTAGAGAAGATAACAGTCCACCAAGATCAAGTGCACACAAGGTTGAGAGGTTGTCGAGCTGGTGAGGGATAACACATCCAAAGCCTGCATTTGAGAGATTGAGATATTGCAGTTTGTTTAATGATCCTAGGAATGATGGAATCGAGCTGTCCTTGAAATTATTCCCACTCAAGTCAAGGTACTTGAGATGCTTCATTTCAAGCAAGGAAGAATCAAGTGTTTCACTTTGTAACATGCTATCAGAGCTCGGGTCCCCATAATTATCTAGAACTCGATTTTTGAGATGAAGCCCGATAACATGCCCAGTCGCTTTATCACATTTTATGCCTTGCCAGTTACAACATTTGTATCGGGTGTTATTCCACGAAGAAAGCCCGTTAGACCCATCCAACATGCTTGCTTTCAACCTCAGGAGAGATATCCTCTCCCTTGGAATGCAATCATTAAAAGTAAAATTATTATTTGATGACAGACACAATATGGCGGGCTCAAACATTATTAAGAAGAAGAAGATGACGGGGAGGAGCATTGAAGAGAACACCATCTTCTCCATTTTATACACGCACATATATATTGATTGGATACAGGCTTGAGAATAAGTATAGGAAAGCTCGCTAGATGTTGGTAGTAGTATATTTAACCATAAGGCTCTATTATATAGCCATTTATGATGATTTCGCATATATGGTTAGTTTTCATGAATGATAGTGAAATCCGATTACCAAAAAGTACTTGCACTTGCATTGACTTGACTCCAAGTAAACCTTTTTTTTTTTTTTTGGTTGTGTTCCTCTTGTAATGTTGAATAAGCACTTTAGTCTAAATAAGCTTTACTTTAGTGTAACTTTAATTATGTGTTTTTAGTCAGAAATTATTTACTAAACTTATGATTAACAGGTGTATTTATATTTTTGACACCCAGTACCCATTGTTACAGAAACTAAGGAACGAGTTTTTGGTTCACTCATTTCAACATCTATGAAAGAGTTTGTTAATTAGTGATACTCATAGTCTTTACCAAAATTTAAATGTTAAATTTCCCATGAAGGAGATGTGATCGTGAAATACTTGAATGCGTGTTTAGTCCTTTGTGGAATAATTGTGGAATTATTAGCCAATGTACCCTCGATCGGGTTGACTTGACTTAGAGTAAACTACACAAACTATTATAATTGATCATCCATGAAAGTGTTCATAGTGAGTAAGAGGTGATTGGATATGAATTCAACTAGTAAAAAAATTAGTTTATTTTTAACTATAGTTAAGTTTGAAGAAAAAGTAGTATGATTAGTTGTTAGTTGATATATTAAAATAATATTTAAATTACAATAATTAAAATTGATTTGATGTAAAAGTAGGAGAAAATGATTGAAAGTGATGATTAGTTAAAATTATGTGAGTGGATGAATAGTGAATTAAAGTTGATGTGATGTATAATAATGATTGGTTGATATTATTTGATTATATTGGTGATATTGGAGATAATGGTTGAGTTAAAGTTGAGTTAAATTTGAGTTTTGAGTGAGATATTTACTCTAGAAAATGTAAACAAGCGGTCTTCTGATTCTGACATATATATAATGAGTCTATTTGGACTTCACATTTCTTATCATGTATTTATTTAATTTACAAATAGTACGAATCCCGTGCGATTCACGTGCAAGAGATATTTATTAATATTTATAAATTAAAATTGTTCGTTAAATAATATGTAAAATTAATAATATAAAATTAATATGTAATACATAATTTATTGAAAATGTTATATGAAATTTAAATTATGTAAAATTATATAAATTATTTCCATTTAGAATTAATACACAACCAATGCGGTGCACGTAACAAATAATAAATTACATTATATTCATTTTAAAGTAATATATCAGTCTACGAGCGGGTAAAAGCCTCTATGGGAGAGGAAGTGATGGATCAAAGTGTTAAAACCGAGAAAAGTATACAATTAATAAAAAGAATAACAATTTTTCTTTATTAAGAACTTTATTTTTTAGATTAAGTTTTTTTAAATACTACTTTTTAGTAAATGCTTAATATACTAGTATGAATCTCGTGCGATGCACGGGTAGAAGATATTCATTAATATTTACAAATTAAAAATTTTCATTAAATAATATTTACAAATTAAAAATATGAAATCAATATGTAATACAATTTACCTATATTAATTTACTAAAAATGTTATATATAAATTTAATTTGTGCAAAATTATATAGAAATGTCTATTTAAAATTAGTACATAACTCGTGCGGTTCACATACCTGATGGTAAATTATATTATATTCATTTCAAAATAAGTCTGATTTCAAATTTTTTAATTAGAAATTCAGTTTGACTATAATTTGATTCCATAAAATAATTATTTTGATAAAATTTGATCATATATTTAAAAATGTATGCGAATAATAAGTATAAATATAAAATTATATTGTTCCATTAATTAAAATGAATTTATTTTTGTATAAACTATCTAAATTAAAAAATTTAAGTAGTTGAGTAACTTATTAAACTATAAATAAATATTGACCCGTAAGTTATGAATAATTGTTTATTTGATTATTAATTTAAAAATTTTTTCTAATATATTATATACCAATCTTAAATCATGCAATTAATAATGGTAATAGGAGCAAATTTTGTCAATATACTAAATTTATGCAACTAATAAATATTTAAAAAAAACTTACTACTAAAGGTATAATTGAATTTTTTGCGGGATTTCAATTAATATTTTAGAAAAATACAAACCTTTTTATATATATAAAGATTGTAATAATATTATGGGTTAACTATTTGCTTAATTAAGAGCCACAATTTGAATAGTTAAGGGTTCATAAAAAATAGTTTTTTATGTGCTTATTAATTAGTTCTTTAATTATTCAGCCGCAACTACCATAGTTGATTTTTAAAAGACACCATAAATTGTGTGCTTGGAGTAGTGAAGGGATCTAAAAAATGAATTTGTTATATGTTTTTTTTTAAATGCGAAAAAAAGTTATCAAGATTAATAACTTTTAAAAATTTAGGCGGGATTTTAGTTTTTTTTCAGGTAAATACAAACCTTATTTAAAGTAAATCAATTATTTATGTAGCCTTGCATTTAATTTTTAAACATAAACAAATGAAATCAATTTACTGTTTTGGTGATATTATATAATCACAATCTAATCATCAAACATAACTTAATGAATTTTAATTTCAATAGCAATTAACTAGAATAATATTATGGGTTAACTATTTGTTTAATTCAGAGCACAATTTGAGTAGTTTAGGGATCTTAAAAAATAATTTTTGATGTGCTTATTAGTTCTTCAATTATTCAACCGCAATTACCATAACTGATTTTTAAAAGATAACATAAATTTTACTATTTGAGTACTTAAGGGATCTAAAAACTGATTTTTTTATGCGTTTATTATTTCCTTAATTATTCAGCCGCAATTACCATAATTGAAATTTACCATAATTAAATTTTAAAGTATGTTGAAATTCGAATTTAACAATGCAAAGGCAGGGTTTTTCAAAAGAAAAAAAAAACCTGCCTTTTCAAATGAAAAAAAAAGTAAACAAAATTATCAGGATTATTAACTTTTAAATTTTTTAGGCGAGATTTTAATTATTTTCAGGTAAATACAAACTTTTTAATATATTAATATATATTATAAATACTTTAAAAATATTTGTTTTTTCAAAATTTATAATAATAAATACTATAAATGTTTTAAAATGAATTTTCTATTTTAAAATTAGGATAGGAGTTATATTTTTTTCAAGTGAATCAATCCAAAATCTTACAATTTGAGTAAATATACCATTCTCTTTTGTCTTGATAACATTTTCTTCCATTTTGAGTAAGGAAAATATTTTTCATTCTTAAACAATCGAACCAAAAAAAAAAAAAACCTACAGTTCATGCTTCTTTTTAATTGCACGAAAGCAACAGATTCTTTGAACAATCAACATATACCCAAATCAGTTCAACACACAATCAATTTTGATGTAATTGTAAGACCATAATCCCATTAGCAATCCAAGCCTATCAGAAAATAGCCTGTAAAACCCGCTGCCTAAATTGTTTTGGAAGCAACCCTTGTTTAGGACCACCGGTCGCATCGTCGGAACCCCCTGGCCGCCGGCCATCACTCGATCCCAAGCACACTGCCGCTTATAGAGCCACAACCAGCCGCATAACCCCGACGCCATTCACCAAAGCGCCACCTTCGATAGCAGCACCCCGACTGTCCGCCGCCAAAGCCCGACGGTCCCCGTTAGCCACTCATGCCTCGAGTCAACTCGTCACCACAACACGCACAACCCGAGCCTAGCGGCTGCCACACGTCACCAACCCGCCAAGCCGCCATCAAGTTTCGCTCGCCTCCAAGGTTTCCGAGCCGCAGCCGCAGCTTCAGCCGTCCGTTTAAAACCCACAGTTCATACCCTTTCTGTACAAAATCCCTTTCCAAACGGTGAAGATGGGTGATAATATTTCCGCTGACACCAAGCTACCAATTCTCGGCAAACGGAACATTCTTTGTCGCAATATATTAGATATTGTATACCAAATATGTTATAAATTGCTAATATATTATATACTAAATATAAGTCATGCATATTAGGTAATAGCATAATATCTAACCAAAATGATTGTGTATATTAATTACATTGATTTCTTAATTTGAATTTAAACAAATTGACCGCCATTTTTCAAAAAATATATAAAAAGTTACTAATATAGGTAAAAATGAATTATTTGGGCGGGAATTCAGCTACTATTCAGGTAAATGTCAAACTTTTTTATATTTATATAGATTTTTATATTAATAGATATATAGATATTTCAATTTCAAAATATCCCTTAATTCAAAAACTCTATTTCAATATAGTATTTTAAAAAAAAAACTTCTCCTTAGTAATTAATATTAATATACCTTTATCCATCCTCGTATTATGTGGATTATTCAATAAAACAATGACGTGACCAG